AGTTGCTCTGCCCCGGGCTTCCTGGAATCAGCTGCTGATCAGTTTCAGCAGCAGCTGACTTGGGGACGCCTGGGGTTCTTAAGTTGATTCTGTATGTAAGTCAGAACTGGCGGTCAGTTTCAGCAGTGTCTGAATCTGGACGCCAGTTCCGACTTACATACAGATTCAACTTAAGAACAAACCTACAGTCCCTATCTTGTACGTAACCCGGGGACTGCCTGTATTCAATGTCTTAATTCCTCTAATCCAAAAATTAGAAGTGGTATATGAAATAACATTTCTCTGCAAGACTGTAGCTTCCTTTTGCCATATGAATTTTAAAGGGATCTTTCTATTTTAATATTACTTTGTTGTTTTGAGAGACATTCAAAAATGGCCCGCTCTAATTCTTTCACTGCCTGGAATTTTCAAACACTTCTCCCTATAATGCATGTTGTAATAGCAGCTATGACTGGGAGAAACCTAAAGTCATGTGACCCTGTTACATCAAACAGGGAAAGCTGAATTACTTTCTGTATGTATCAATGAACTAAATGCCATAATTGCTGACTTTAGATACCCCATCCCTTTATGCTTTGAACTGTCACATCATACCAACAAGAGAAGTCCACTTCATCTCCTCCCAAGTGGACGTAGGTATCAGGAAATACTTGGCTAATTTCTTGGAAGAGATCCGTCATAAAATGATAAGTTGTATTCAAAATGGGGTTAACAGGACCATAAGAACCACTCCGGTGTTCTCCATTGTAACATGGTGTGAGAAGGTCTTTTTGACCTAATAAAAGAAGCAATTAAGAGGATTTGTAGCAGCAGCAAGTAGTTCTGTGGCACCTTAAAGACTAACAGATTTATCTGGGCATAAGCTTTCAGGGGTAAAAACCACTTTGTCAATTGCACGGAGTCTGCAGGATTCATCATTGTTTTTGCAGATAGAGACTAACAATCTTACCCCTCTAAAACTTGATACCTACAGCAATCACTTCAAATACTAGTGCTTCCCACCAAAGCTTTGCTCCTGGGTACTTGTGAGGAGGCATGTGCAGGTTCTAACAAGAAACGTGTCAGGCTGTTGGAAAGAATGGATGGTGGAAAAGAAATGAAGGACAGTCGGGGAGCCAAAGCCCACTATTGGGAAACTGGAGTTCGGTCCTAATCCCAGCTTTGCTACCAGCTTTCAGTGAGACTTAGATCAAGTCACTGAGTCTGCATGTCTCATTTCCTCATCTGAAAATGGAGCCTGATTCCTTACATTGAAGAAGGGAGAACAGACTTCATTCAATCCACTCTGCAAAGTAACATGCAATCCTCCAATGCTAGGCTCTACCTGGGCACGAAACCATTGGCTCTCAATTTCATCTAGTACAACATGTTGCAGGACAGCTCCTTAACACAGGGTACTCTGTGCACTTCACACCTGACTTCTGCTTTCTATACTGGCTTCCCATTGAATTTCTAATAGAGTTCAGGGGCTCAGTCCTTATCTTCAAAGTGCTCCATGGCCTGGGCCCAAGATACCTAAAAGACAGTTTAAAGATGCAGAACAAAGATTGGGGTTGACAACTTTGCTCTTCTGGCACAATGAAACACTCCATAAGAAACTTCACCCCATCCATACCAGTTGGAAGGCACCTTTTCTTGGATTTTGCCTTCTTGAATATAAACACATAGCGACGGATCTATTTAACAAACAAAACCCCACACAACCACCTTATCAAATAAGACATTTCACCTCACACACTTCCCTCTCTGGTGAGGTTGAGCAAATAAACATGTGAAAGATGCATAGTCTATTGCTTAATCTTACCTTTGCCCCAAGATTGTGTATGTCCCGGGGTATCAAACTCTGGGATAACCCTAATGCCTCTTAACCGAGCATACTCAATCACCAGACGGACATCAGTTGGAGTGTAGACGTGATTATAAAAATAAGATCCCTGTGAAATGTTCACATTTAAAAAGAATGTTTATATAATATACAAGGAACATGCAAAAAACTTTTACTGAAATTTTGTAATCCCTTTCCTGACAAAGTCACAAATAATGTGCAATTACATTCAGGGATAAGTATGGTCTAGTAGCTCTGGCAGCCCAGCGAAAACTGCATTTTTATTCTGCAAGAATGAATGGTCTACACTTAGAGATTTACTCTGATCTAGATCTTGCTTAATAAATGAAATCAGTCACTGGCTTCCAGTTACAAAAAAAGTCTGATTCACCAACTGCCTTGTTCAAAGAGTCATGGGCTTAAAGCACAAAATAATTGTTTCACTAGACATCTCTCCAAACCCATCTGGTCATACCTGCACTACTGGTTCTGAAATATTAATGGAAAATGCTGATTTGAGTTGGGAGGTGGAGTCAGTTTAAAGTTACTATGTCTCTGGTTGTCTGTTTCTTTCTGCTGCCTGATCTGGAACCACTATGTCTATTTTATAGTGGGGCTCGTCTACATTGGCCCCTTTTCCAGAAGGGGCATGGTAATTTTTGAAATCGCAATAGGGAAATCCGCGGGGGATTTAAATATCCCCCGCGGCATTTAAATAAAAATGTCCGCCGCTTTTTTCCAGCTTTTAGAAAAGCCGGAAAAGAGCATCTACACTGGCCCCGATCCTCCGGAAAAAGCGCCCTTTTCCGGAGGATCTTATTCCTACTTATTCCCACCCCCTGCATCCCCTCCATCTCCCCAGTAGCCCTGTTCCCAGGCAGCCCCTGCTGCTGGCTGTGGATCCCATTCTCATCCCCCTGCAGCCCTGTTCTGTGGCATCGCCTGCCATGGGTCAGTAGCCCTCATTCCCGGATGCACTTCTGCTGAAACCCTATCAAGCCATGAGTGGTGGGGCTCAAGATGAGAGCAGCAGGGCTTAATCCTGCATTCCTGGAGCTCCCCTTGGGGGAGAAGCCTCCACAGGCCATGGGCAGAATCAGGGCCAGATTAACCTTCTGTGGGCCCTGAGCCAAAAACTTTTGTGGGCCCTCAGGAGGTAATGGAGGAGGGCATTGGGATGCCAGTCACAAGAGCAAAGGGGCATAGATGGCAGGGGCAGCCCTGCTCTGCCCAGGGGACTATTTACAAACTCGCAGTTCTCAGGCATATATACAGTGGCCTGACCAGACCTATGCTGCCAGTATGCCCCTTTCTCCTGAAGGCAGGGTTGTGCCATGCTCCACAGCTCCTTGACTTAACATCCCCCCTATAGCTAGAGCCTGCTGGAGCCCTGCCAGACACACAGCACCCTGTGTATCACCCCTGCCCACAGCCCCACCGCAGATACCTAGAACCTCGATTGCCTAGACCCCCCAACACACATTTATTTCCCGTCACCTCCCAGCCCAGTACACACACAACGAGGCCCTCCTAGAGACCCACTCCCCTACACCCAACCTCCTGAACAGCAAGATGAGGACAAGGCAGGCACTTCTAAAGAGCAGTAACCACTTAATTGCAAGTATATTTTTTACCTATTAGTCATAATAATGCAGTATTGTCTTTAATGGGTGCTCAGTCAACTTAATGTTATTTTGAATGTTTGTACTGCATTTGAATTTGCTTACATCCCAGCAATTTTATCAGGTGTCCCGTACTTGGCATAGGGAAATATGGTCATACTAAAGTTTCCAGAAGTTAAACAATCTATTCCAAACTTGGTGAACATCAAAAAGTAAGCCACCTAAATGAAAGACATCTCGACTTTTCTGTAGTTGTTTCAATTGCTATATTTAAGATTAAAATACTTTAACATTTTAAATCTAACCAGTGTTAAGTGACATGAGAAGTTTTCAGAACATGTCAGTATTAGAGTGAATGGGTTTACTGTACTTTCCTATATATAGGAATTAATGTTCCTGTCAGCTATTTTCTACGTTGTTTGAACAAAGAAAACTCCAAGCCATAGCATAAGTGTCACAGTAGCCTCCAAAATAACAATTGAAGCTGCTCCCCCATCTGAAATGGCAATCCCGTGACAGACGCCTAAATATTTTCTTGTAGTGGATTTTATGCCAAAAAAAAAATAAAAAATACATTCCATTCCTGCATTTGACTCACCTTGCCACTCAACTCAGGGAAAGTGGTGCTCTGGTAAGGGAATGAATGGTCATCTACTATGTGCCAGTGGAGAACATTAAACTTGTTAAAAGCCATGGCATCCTGTAATGAACAATGCAAGATCAACATTTTAGTTAAGCACTTCACTGTTTGAAGGGTGCTACTACTGGTCCTGCTGTAGTTTCAGCTGCAATATTCTGCACTGTCTTATGGAGCATTGCAAAGTATCCTTGTCTCCTCCCCTGCTACATACATTCTTAAATCCTAAATAGGGGTGGCCCATCCATATAGTCAAACTAGGCGGTTGCCTAGGGCACCAAGATAAATAGGGCGCAATGGGGTGTGAAAGGGTGGCATAATATCGTTGAGGGGTTTGGAGGTGGGGGCGCCAATTGCATGGTTTGCCTAGGGTGCCAGTTGCTGGCAGCTAGTCTAGGGCCACTCCTGATCCTAAATGCATTTTGTATATGCTTCTAGGTGTATTTCTTGTTTTTTCCTATGTAGTCATCCATTGCAGAGAGTCACTCTGATTCTAGTTGACTGACTCATAGGAAAGTAACTTCCAAAATAAGAAACTGAAGAGTATGAATTTCACACCTAATCCTGCTAATTTTTCATGCAATGCTAGTCAGATAGCACTGTCACCACCACTCTCCGCTCCCTCCACCGTCCCCCTATACCATGGGTTTGGATGCAAGCAGTGTGCCAAGGAATTCTATAGTTTACACATTTCTATTTTGTGTGCAGCTGCATTTTAATTAACTGTTTCCTCATCAGGGTTGGTTTTTCCCCCTTATGTTCACAGTTATGTAGGCAGCAATACTGGTGTTCTGGAAACTGGATACAATTGAGATTTCCCACATTATTACAAGCCCACACAGAGAGTTGTATTACTTAGAAACTGATATATGGGATTTAGGATTAAAAAAAAATTACCATCTCTTTTTCAGGTTCTCTCTTAAGCCAAGACCTACACCATTTGTAGTCCCTCAAAATTGTGGTATCCATGATAGAGCAAATATTTTAACTGAATTGGTAATTGCCTGTAATTCACTGTTGGAAGGCAAGTATGGACTTCAAACATGTTTAGATAGGGAGTTGAGTAGGGATGTCAAATTTCGATTAACTATACAAGAGTCCCCACTGGGGCTCTTGTACATTCAAAGTGGGGAGTCCACCGCTGACCCTGGGCTCCACGCAGGCCCTTCTGCTTTGAAATGTACAAATGTCCCCAGTGGGGGCTCTTGCATATTCAAAGTTGGCCGCCACTGCACCTGTGCCCCCTCCCACGGAGCTGGAGCTCGGGGGAACTGGCTTTTAAGCCTGCTCCCTCCAGCACCCTCCTCCTCCTCCTGGGCTGCTGCCTTTTTGTGATAGAGGCAGCAAGGGCGAGGGAGGGAGAGGAGAAGCAACTAGTCGACTAATGTGTCCACTATCCGATAAACTTTTGCTTATCGGATAGTCAATTAGTCGCTTACATCCCTAGTTATGAGGGAAGTGTTAAAGAGCAAGAAGGTTAGTCGATAGCAGAGCCATTGAAACGGAATACACTTAGGAAAAAATGAGGAAAACAAGGAATATGTGGATGAGCTTTAAAAATAATGCAAGTCTTAAGAATCAACTTACATTTGTTTAATTTTCTTAGTGTTAAGATGTCAGCCCTTTTAGAGAAGAGCAACAAATGTAATTTTGATTAGAAATGCTGTGACTGTGCAGTGAGTCTATAAATTATTCACTGGGCAAACACTTGGTTTTCTGGGCTCCAACTGAACTCTAAAAACAAGCATTTTAGAGGTCAAACACACACTGAGTCAACATACTACCTGACCTATATCTACATGCACTAGGGTTGTCCCCTGTTCTCAAATTTACTCCATCTGTGCTCCAGAACTAAGCACACAATTCAGCATTAAAACAGCAGGAAAAAAAAGAGGTAGTAGACATGTAAGGAAGTTATATATTCTCACATTCAAAGGCTTCTCTACACAATCACAGGTACGTATTTCCTCTTCCATTAAACCACATTGCAGGAGTGTGGAGGGAAAGAAAGGGACCATAAAGCCCAAAGCTGCATGTGCTATAATATAGTTATTGGAAAAATTATGTTATTTTCCACTAAAACAGTGATCTGTTTGAAGTGAATCTGAAATCTCTGAGATAAATCTAACATTATTGCTATTCCTTTAAATGCATTACCCTCAAGGGTGGGCTCAACTTCAAATTAGGTAAGAATGCAAAAAGCCTTATAATCAAGTCTGTTTACATGGCTCCACCATTTGGATAGAGGATGCATGAAGTGTAGCATGCATTAAAATGTTATAGTATAACTCCACTGGTGGACACTGCAAGTGCAAATAAAAATATGCAAATGAGCCACCTAGTTTATGCCCACAGCATCCATCCAGTGGCGTTATAGTTAAAGTCCTGCAAATCCACAAGTACCTGCAGATATCTACATCCATGGATGTGGATGTCTACAGCTCATTTTTGCAGATATGGATGCAGTTACAAAATTTGTATCTGAACCCTAGAAATTTGTAGATATCCACTTTATATCCATGGATATCAGCAGATCATTTTTGCAGGCAGAAATTTTCTATCCATGCAAAGCTCTAGTTACAGTGCAGCACACTAATGCATGCTGCAATTTACACACATCTAAGTCTGAACTACGCAGCCTCTATTTAATGGGCTGGAGAGAGAGAGACCCATACAACCCTATCCTGAAAGACTAGGTTGTCAAGAACATCTACATCATTCCTTAGTTGTAAAGCTCACAGTTAGAACACATAGTTTGATGAAAGAGAAACCTTTTAGGAGTTCAAAAACCATGAACTGTAATGATGTGCCTCCATGGCTCTCTGAATACTATGAAGATGTACTGGCAAATCAGATTAAGAGCTACGAAAGAATCCAGAATATTACTAGATGAAGATGAACTTTAATAATAACTCTTGTTGAATAGGTTAAAACAATTACATTGAAGTGGGTTACAGTACAATCAAAAGGAAAACTACTTGTGACTTCATTGCTGTTTTTAAATAATGGAGACAACTTGGTTCTACCCCTTAATTCTATTTTATTTGTGAACCACTTCAGATACTTTTAAAAATATTTAAGTGTTTCATTTTTCTCCTTCTCCCCAACCCCTGCCTCCATTCCTGGCCAATTTCCTCTCTTGAGGATCATGATGTAGATGCGGAGGTCACTTCCAAATCAACAGGAAGAAGGGCTATCAATCAACTCAAAATAGGGGGGGTACCTCAGGTTAAGACTTCTGGAGTGTCTAACCACAGCAGGTATCTTCTCTGTATGACGATAAGGAAAACAACCTAGTTAGGAGCAGCAGAGCAAGAAATACACTAAAATCTCAGGAGTGCTTTACAAAGTAGGATACTACAAAGTGTCTCCCCTTTCAGTTTGGTGAAGTGGAATAAGAAAGTGTGATTTGTTTGGAGTCTCACACTAAATCAGTATATTACAGAACCCACATTTTCCTGTTCCACATTCTCTTATTCAGGCCACTAAACCACACTAACCTTCCAATAGCTCTATTCCTGTAGCCCTTAAGTGAAGTCCTAATATAAAAAAATATTAATTCAATAAGGTCTCTCTTGCCCACTCCATTAAACAGTTAAAGGCCATGCATTATCCCATTTACTATTGAGAATTCAACTTGACACTATTACATGAGAATATTTGCTACTCATTTTTTTAAAAAGAGTTTTTTGACAGTGCCTTTACATTTGTATGCATGTAGATATTGAACAAATTACACTCCCCCACCCATTTCAGTTTTCTGGACCTTTAGTGTAGCCACTTTTATTTAAATAAGTTATAAAATGTATTTGAACAAGGTGATATTAATCCCTCTGCTCTAAATTTAAAGCTTTTCCATCAGTCTATGCATTGCATCAGTTTCTTTTCAGATTAAAATTTACAAAGTAAACCAAGCTATATGTGTAGACAGAGGAAATTAGACCAGGGTAGTTTTAGAGGCTTCTAGGCAATTCTAAGTTGCCTAGCAATAGAAATAAGTGTTTGTCAAATGTCTCTTGGTGTCTAGCACTAATTGCTTTCCTAACAAATAGCCACTTAAGCTTATTTTATAAATGTATAGCTTTACAGTGACAGATTTAGTGAAGTTTGTTGAGCTAAGGTGTAGAACAAGATCAGCAGACATTTGAGGAAAACCCACCAGTTACTACAAAACGCCAACTTACCAGGTTTGTAAGAATACTTTTGAGGGGTAGAAAGTGTCTTGATGTATCAAGTAAGATTCCTCTGTGGGCAAATCTTGGGTAGTCAGTGATTTCTGATTCATTGATAAGGAACTATTACAAACAGGATTTGAAGAATTAAAAAAATGTTAATTTATAATTGTCATATAAGTTTACTATTAAGTTCAGCTATAGTGCAGTATACAGAAATATAGCTCAAATAAAAAACACCTATGAAGCTTTAAGTTAACCAAACATCAAGAGAGAAGTCTACATTAACTAGCTTCAGAGGACCATTTAGGAAAATAAGACATCATGGAGAGGAGCATTTGTGTTGCCTCTAGTCTAGAAGTTCTGTAGTGCTGTCCCTTAATAATAGCAGCATGTGATTCTATTGCTACCAAGAATTTGGTTTTATTTAATAGCTATACTCACACTCCCGTAATCATCTTCATAGACCAACTGGCTGAAGGTTTCCAAACCTAGAAAAATCAAAGAGAATGTTCTCCACAAACCTCAATCTAAATACTTATGTCACTAAAACAGTCAAAGATGAGACCATTAGAAGCTTAGATGCCTGAAACATGTTTTTTTAGCTATCTTTTGAAATATATTCTCCTCTCCACCATACACTGCATCTCTATTCCCTCCAAGTCTCAACTTTAGTTAAATGGGAAAAGGAAACTTTTAATCCTGAAGAGGTTAACTTGTATCCACTATTCTAAGTGTATTAACTTGGAAAAACTTAAAACAACAAATAGACTAGTAGGATCTTAAAGACTAACAAAACATGTAGATGGTATCATGAGCTAAGTTGAATTGCACTAAGACTGTGCCACTGCATGTAATTAATCTTCTAAAGCAGGCATGTCCAAAGTCCGGCCCGTGTTCCGGTTTAATACGGCCCCCCAGGTAATTTGGCAATATTTATCTTTTATGGCCCCCAACAAATCCATATGTATTGAGATGAATACATTGTAAAATCTCAGTTAATGTCAGTTGGTCTAAATCAGTTATAAATATATTTGGACACAACATGTATACTTGGTGTTATGTTCCTGTTCATATTTTTTGAACTTAAAAGTTGACAGACAACCTTTATTACCAATAATATGTAATGTACTTTACAATGTTCCTGACATATATTTCAGCTTCCTGGATTTTTTTTTCATCTGGCCTTCAGATATGAAAGGCAGAGTGATTTAACACCTGTTTAGATTTGTCATCCATGTGACGAAATGAAAAGTATGCCGTTTGCAATAAACTTTGCATAAAATAGTTAATTTGCATTTAATTTTAATGGTTCAAAGAATGTCAGGCAAAATGGTCGGCCCTCACGCATGTTCACTTCATCAAATCTGGCCCTCTTTGAAAAAAGTTTGGACACCCCTGTTCTAAAGGATTGGAAACCCACAGGCATACAAGAGCTCACTAAGCTTGTGATTTGCAGCCAAGAAGTTCCAAGATACTGACCAGTCCAATTGCTCATATTTGAATAGAAAGAGTTGCAGAATGGGGGAAATTCCAGATTCAGTGTGAAATAGGGATGAAAGCGACTAGTTGACTATCCAATAAGCAAAATCTTATCGGATAGTTGACTAGTCATTTCCTTCCCCCCCTTCCGCTGCCTCTAATAACCAGTTTAAAAGCCAGTTCCCCCCAGCACCATCTTTGCAGGGGAGGCAGGGGGTAGCAGGGACTGGGCACAAGCGAGCTGATTCCCTGCTGGCTCTTAATAAATGTAAAAGGCTGGTGCGCAATGGGGGCAGGACCCTACGTGAGCTGGAAATCAGTTATCCCAGCTCATGCTGGGTCCCCTCCTGATACACACCAGCCTTTTAAATGTATTAAGAGATGACAGGCTCTGTATACATTTAAAAGGCAGAGCTGCAGAGCGGTCAGCTCCCAGGCCAGGAGCTAACCCGGTTGCAGTTTCCCCGCTTATCGACAAGTCAATGTAAAATCCATTGACTAGTCCAATGGTCCCCAACCTTTTGGGGCTGCCGCACGCCCGGGGGCGGGGCCGCCCATGCGCTGTGTGCCCGCGGGCAGGACTGCCCATGCGCCGTGTGACCGGAGGGCACACATAAATGCCCCAGCGGGTGCCATGGTGCCCGCGGGCACCGCATTGGAGACCACTGGACTAGTCGATTAGTTGATTAAACTAAAATTTAACATCCCTAGTGTGAACACTCAACTTCACATCAAGTCTAAGAAGGATTTGGACAACATCCTTCTTCTACAAGATATAGAAGAACAGAACTTTAAACAGAATGATAATGTTGATAGGTGTTTTGACGACATTCACTTACTAGATAATTCAGAGTATACATTAGTAGTTTTATGGTTTTCTCGCCAAGAATTTGATTTAATTGTGCAACCAGGAATACTTCCCTCTATGGTACTGAAACCCTTAGATAGCATATCAACATCAACTTACCTCTTAATGCACCCCAGACCTTTTCTGCCTTCAGTACTGCCATGGGTTCTGTTACACTTAACTGATCTTTGATGGAAATTGACAAAATACAAGTTATTGTCTTAACAAGTTGAAATAGAGATTCATTACATTAAATAAGAGACAATAATGACTTTAATATAGCGCTAGAATGGGACTCTACAAATCCTAACATTTATTTACAACAACTTTTAACTCTGACTTCCGTTGTTTTTAACAGTGATGGTGATCTGTTACTTTACATTCACATAGGTCATTTTGCACATGCACCAGTATATTTATTAGCAACGAAAATTCCTTTTGTTACTGAAAAGGGCTAATTACACCCAATGGAAGGAAAGCAAGTAGAGGTGCAATATGGAAAGAAGAAAATTATTTCAGTAAATACTTCCTATATTTCTTGAGATTTAAATACCACAGTATTTATGCTAAGAGGTTACCTCATCTGCGTGTGTACTGATTTCAGGGAGGAAGCGGGTCTGTAAGGATGAAATTCATCTCCCCCCCCACCCTATCTTTCAGAATTTGAACATTTAAGTCTTGAAAAATATTGAAATGTCAGTTATTAGGATGTAAGTATTGTCAATTAACTGATGAGCAAATGCTTATTGGTTAATGCTACAGACTACATGCATTTCTCACCCGGCAAGTACATTTTTTTGGCAGGCTGGCCAGCAGCCCAGCTCACTCCCAGCTTGTGCCAGGTCTGGGACTGATCCCTGCTACAGCTCTGCATTTCAAGAGAATTAGGAGCCAGGTGAGCAAGTAGCCTGGCTCTGTTCCAGCTCTCACCGAGGCTGGGAACTCTGACTCCTTCCCCTGGACAGAGGCTGCTGGCACCCTACACTGCTGCCTCTGTGTCAGAGTCAGCAGCGCAGGACTACAGGCAGCCGGTCTGCGAGGGAAGCTGGTACAGAGGCAGCAGCGCTGAGTGGCAGGGGCCTCCTTGGGAGTGGACTACAGAATAGTTGATTGACCTCATGAATTCTTATAGGTTAACGGACATTTCATTAACCGATATTTAACATCCCTATTAGTTACTACAGGATCTAACACTATCATAAGTGGAATGTCCACACTTAAGCAGCCTTTACAATGAACACCCCACTGGTAAAGGTATAAATAGCAGGGCAGCCCATGAGGTACGGCTTAGGTGCATATAGCACTCTGCTTTCCTGAGTCCTAGGGTGTATACCATACATGGTGCTTTATGGACCAAAGCAATGGGCTTAAACTGCAGCAATGGAGGTTTAGGTTGGACATTAGGAAAAAGTTCCTAATTGTCAGGGTGGTTAAACACTGGAATAAATTGCCCAGGGAGGTTGTGGAATCCCCATCTCTGGAGATATTTAAGAGTAGGTTAGATAAATGTCTATCAGGGATGGTCTAAACAGTATTCGGTCCTGCCATGGGGGCAGGGGACTGGACTCGATGACCTCTCGAGGTCCCTTCCAGTCCTAGTATTCTAGGATTCTATGATTGTTTTCTGTATCTATGCTGTGGTAGCATCCTATTACTTCCATGCTGTCTGAGCTTCTCCCTGCCATCAGGAAACACTGCAGAAGTGCTAAAAGGGTCTGGCAGTGGGGAAAGTTCTGACAGCTGAAGCTTTCGCAGTGACCACAGATACAGCCTGCCTTTCACTGCGATGCACTGCTGTATCCTATACGCTGCCTCAAGCATGGAAAAGCTTAGACAAAGTGTAAGATTTCCACCATTTAACCTGTTTATCTGGAATGTAAACTGAAGAAGTGACTGACCAATTTATCTTCTAAGACAAGATAAAAACTCATCAGGCTATAAAGCAGCAATCAGTGTCAAGCTGCTGCAACCGTGAGGTTTGCAAGATCTTTTTATTCCTTAAGTGAACCTATTGTTACTCAGTATCATTTGTAATCCACCTTTAGATAAGTTGCTGACTGTTACATTCCAATGATATGTGTGCTTGGAAAACAAGTGCCAGTGAGGAAATTGAGTGGAACTTAAACTTACAGCTGTGGAAGGAAAAAGCGGATCTCTAGAAAGCTGGAATGTATGATTGTAATGGACTTTTTCCTTCACTCCCCTGCTATCCATAGTTCATATGCTGTCAGATACTCACAGGCCTCATTAGACGTGATGTTGGGATAATTGTCACACTCAGAATCTTTGGAGCTAATTATGACTTGAAGCTGCAATAACTCTGTTCCAGCATGAAGCGGCCTTTGACCCCGATTTTGCCATTGGGAATAACCAAAGATGTAATCATAATATCTGCACAAAGAAGCAAAACCAAAAAAGGAAGCTTTGAAGTGAGTAGTGGGCTCTCTACCCCACCCTTGGTCCCCACATTCTGTGCAATGGAGCTAGGGAAATTCTGTTCAGGGAATCACTAGGGATGTCAACATGTAGACAACTACATGATTAATCCATAAGCCCAGGCTTCCCCCTCAGTATCAGAAGCAGCAAGGTGGGGGAAAGCAGTAGCACTCAATCTGCTTCCCCCCTTTTGCTGCCTCTGATACAGACACAGCAGTAGGAGGATCAAGGAGGCAGGTGGGAGCTGGCTTTGCATACCTGCCTGCTCCTCCCTACAGAGGTCGGGGAGAGGCAGGCAGGAGCAGGTGCTGGGGGTGGGAGTGGGAGTAGGCCCAGGCTCCCTGCAGACAGAGACGGCTCTGCAGCAGCAACGCCTATCCGTGGGGGTCTGAGCTCCCTATGGACAGGGGCTGTTGCCGCACAGCAGTCTCTGTCTGTAGGGAGCTCAGGCCGCCACCTCACACTGCTGCCTCTCTTTTTAAACTGCCTCCCCTCACAGTCTGACTTTCAGCTCCCCTCCCCCGCTGCTGTCCCTGACAGAGGCAACAATTTGGGATGACAGGAGCTCCTGGGGCCAGAGCTCTCAGGCTGCCAGGCTCACCTGTGGGGATTACTGAATAGTCGTGTACCTGCTAACAACCCTAGGAACCAGGGCCACCCACCAATTAGCAGCTAGTTATAAAACCAATCAGGAGCCCGTCCGCAGAGACTCAAAGTCCAGCTGCCTCTCCCCTCCGATGCGGTTGCGCCTAGGAGAAAGGGGAAGTCGCCCTCTGCTTTTCAACCCCGCACAGAGAGCGCCCCCCCTCAGCTGAGCGGGGCCGGGCGGGCTACGGAACAAGCCCCCGGCTCCGCCGACCCCGCCCGGATGGCAAGTGCCGGCCGCGCCCCTCAGCGGGGGGGCGGGGCCGGGCCCCGCCGTGGAGCCCGGGCCGTGCACCAGCTGGAAGCGGCTGGGGGCCAGCTGGAGCTGGGGAGGCAGGATGCTGAGCGAGCGGGGTAGAGGCCAGAGGGAGCCGGAGGGGGACTCGCCCAGCTCCAGCGGCTCCT